AAGGATAACAAAGGCTGGAAATAAGACTAGTTGACCATATATGATAAAGCACCTATTAAGAGGATAACAAAAAGGACTGTGCATTGGAAAACTGCGATATATGCAATCTCTGAAGCAAGATTACTTCAGGATTATAATGAGGGCACAACAAGCAAGTGATGTGAACCTCGTACAAAACAATAAAACAAAAATACTAATACAGAAAAATGTTCCAGGTGTTCCTAGAAGCCTACCTGTGAAACGACAAAGTCCACTGAATCAGCAATAAAAGGTTCTTGAGGGCCATCACGAATTCCTGTTAAGATGTATCGTTTCAACAAAAAAGACGGCGTCCAACCAACACTGCAAGTGGCAAATTAACATCTTAAGAACACTTTTCGTAATTACATGCAATAAGTAATAAAGATCATGCAAGCAAAAAAACTGAGAAATAATTGCAAGAACTACAAAAAGAAATAAGAATACTTGTAAGCCTAATATGCAAGAAACTATGTATAGCAATAAGTAAATTTATACCATGGGAAAGCCTATTTTAGATAAAAAAATATAAGTGAAAGCAGATGAACATACTTTTCCTGTCACCCAGCATATGCATTTATACAGGTGAGCATAATTTACAGGGAATTGACTCATTGTAAGGAAATTTGTTCTAACTTGATGCCCCACAAAACCGCACACATGCAATTATTTGATTTCAAAAATACCAAATAATTTACAGTCCAGGGAGAGGCAAATCTTATGCAAATGTGTAAGTGATCGATGCATAATCCAACAAAAGAACCAATTTTGATTATATCCAGCTTAGAGTTGATTACAAGAAATGTAAAGACATACATAGGCGCCCAAGGCATTGCTGCTGCAAAACTGCGTGTTTCCAAAAATGCATTTGATAGAATTAAGGATTTAACCCGTCTTGGACGATGTTGAGCAAAAAGTTGAGCTAGGAAGCCTCCAAGGGATGTACCATATAAATGTATCTGTACAAGACATGTTACTTACTAAGCAAATTTTACAATTCAACATGAACTACCCCTGCCATAAACTTCACTGAAAATATAGTTCCAACAGTGGAACCAGCAAATCAGGATAAATTTGTCATTTTAGAACCTTTCTGCAAACTTATTATAAAACTAATACAGTAAAATATTTTTTACTTTAAGTAGGCAACCTATTCTTTATTTCAGAAACATAAAATAAAAAATACGAAATATGCACTGAAAAGGACAAATAGATGCTGTAGTAGGGACGGAATGAAGGATAGGCCAGAAATATATTAAGCTCTCACATGGTGAACATCGATGGCATCCAAGAACTTTTCAAAACTTTGAATCCACTCTTGATGATTCCAAACACGTGGAATATCAACAGAAATCACCCGGTAACCCTGAACATTTGTGAAACTTTAATTATTAGACTTAACAAGAAGAAAAAATTCTTCAAAATGGTCTAAATAGTTTTTGGTAAAAAACCATAAAATTTGAATAAATCCATTATACAGAACAAGTATAATGTCTCCCTCAACCAATAAATGAAATGAAGAAATTTCAGGCTGGCAGTGGTCAAAAGAAATTTGGAACTCTACATATTAAAGACATAACATGCATAATGCTAGCAGCCGACTCTCTGAACAACAAACAGAACAAAAATATCCATGACAAACAGAACTACAAAATATCCAGTTTATCATAATACTGAAACCAATAATGAGACAGGAATATAGTCATACAAAAAACTGATAGCTTATAGAGGTTTCCTTCTGTTTTTCATGTAGTTTTGAAGAGATAAAACAGCCTATGTCAGCTCCCATAGGGTATCTTCCAAGAACTAAAAGAAGCAGCAAAACGGAAGAAAAAAAAACCTATCTAGAACTTGTCAAAGATACTATAATTTATGGCTTAAAACCTTCATGGATAAGGACATGATCTGTTTGTAGTAGACATCGGCTGTCCCTGCAGTTCCAGGAAGACATATGAGAGGAGGAACCACTTTGGGACCAAAATCATAATATCGCCACTGCTTTGTGCCAATCTGTGGGAGAAACAAACAACTCCTAAAATGAGATTCATATCAGTTGATAAAAAGTAATATGAGAGTCCCTCTCTGTTTCTCCATTCAAGAGGTATGCTAAGCAATGCAAATAACATAAAAGTTGGGTCAATTATCCCAGACTTCAAGCGATTAACAGTAAAAAAAAACAAAACAACAAGAAAGGCATAAAACTTAACAGAAAATCAGAATGTACCTTCATGAACTACATTATAATTAACAGCGATACACTATATTGAAGCTAAGGAGTTCACAATCATGAGCATAAAAGTTTAAAAATAATAACAAAATTCTAGAATGAAGGAAAACCCGACAACTACTAACTTGTGAATAACCTTTCAAACATATGCATCCTCAGGGATACAAAGCCAACAAGTAAATCACACCATAAAAGAATTCAACAATTATCATAAGCAAAAATCAATCTTCAGGTCTCAAATTGAAATCCGTTTACAAATTTTTCTTTTTCCAATGTGTAAAAATCAAAGTTCTTACGTATCCCTAACTTACCATAAAAGGACATTCACAGCAGAAACAAATTCAGACCCAGCATAAATACTAAACCATAAGTACAAAGCATAAAATTAAGCAAATCATAGACACACCCAGAACAACATTCTGCAATCCTGAGATCAGAATTCTCATCAAAACAATACAATATCTAAAACAAAAACATAAACTCCAACATAATAAGGGTAAACCATAAAACCCAACATCAAAATTTTATAAAATTACAAGAGAATAATGAAAAGTGGAAATTAAAAAATATAGAGAGAGTGTTGGGGAAAAAATCTTACAGGGATCTTGTGAAGAGGGACTTGGGACTTGAAGTGGACGTAATCTCCGGGCGCCGAGAAGACGCCTTTCATTGCTGAATACAATCACTTTACGTTCATTCCATTCGATTCCTTCTTTTTGAATCAATCAATTAAATCGATCGACGATCTCTCTGTTTTAAATTTTTTTCTCCCTTTCTCTCTCTCTTATAATTGTTTCTATCTTTCTAGTGTTAGTTGTTCTTTCCAATTATTCCCTTTATTTTTTTTCAAGTTTTTAAATTATAATTTGACGAGAAGACGAGAGAACCCACGTGGCTGGGCTTTAACAGTCAATTGACGGAAACGTTTCTCAACTGCCCGTCAGCGTTATCTAAAAGGGTGCGCGCAGTTTAATTTCATGCACCCTTCAGGCGCATGTTAGATATAGTGGCATCTTCCTAAATCCATTCCATTCTTATTATCAAACATTTAAAAAACTAAACCTACTCCACAGAAAAAAGAGTAAAAGTATTTACGATAAATTAATCAGAGTTAAAATTAGTATAAGAGTAAGAATCATTAGAGGAAGTATGTTGAAAAAATTTTGACATAATAGTTAAAAAAGTTTATGAATTATTTTTGTAAAATTAAATACTTTTTTATAAATTTTTATATTTTTAATTTAAATTAAAAAAATTATAATTAATAATTAATTAATTATATTAATCAAAACATAATTTATTATTTTTATATTTTATCGTGTTTATGTGATGAATAAATGAATGATGATATGATTATATAATATTTTATTTTTTATATATAAATATAACATGATAAAAAGTATTTTAATAATAATAATTAATCAATTATTATTTATAAAATTTATTTAATTAAATATAAAAATATAATCATTTAAATAATTCAAGAGTTTTTTTAAACATAATCTTATAAATTTTCAAGACAGTTTTTCATTTGCTTTAATATTTAATTAGATGCAATTTTTTTATAAAACTTTTTTTAGATTTTTGTACGAATCAGATTTGCTAGTGACCATAAATGAGACCCGACCTACCACAGATCGACATGTGTGTACTTATTGATGGGGGATTTTTGGGCTCTTGTTGGGCTTCTTGGCACAGCAGGCGTTCTTTTAATTTGCTCATTATTGGGTCCGTCAATTGGGCCACGCATTTGTTTCTACTCGACTATAAACCAGCAATCCCGGCACCCACCCGAAAACCCGATCTATATTCCCTCTAATTGCCGGCCAGGGGCCTCCATTCTACAGCTCTTTAGTTGGTTCTCTGCTTTGTCCGGGGGGATACCATCTTTAGTCTCTCTACTTTCAGAGGTCAGTCAATCTCCGATTATTCTTTTTCTTTTTTTCCCTTTTTCACCCATTTCTCTGTTGCTCCATGTCTCCATTCACAGTCCATCAGCACGAATATCACCTATAACTTTCGGCCATGCTTCACAAGTTTCCAAACATCTTTAATTCAATTCAGTCTACAAGAATTAAAGCCCTAAACCCATGGAACTCCCTGTATAGATATTGTCATTTTAAGAAAAAGGTGGGTTTTGATTCTTTAAACTCGACATCGACTTTGGCATCAAAAACTGCCCAAAACAGTGTTGCAATATTCTGGGATTTGGATAACAAGCCCCCAAATTCATTCCCTCCTTTTGAAGCTGCTATCAAGTTGAAAACGGCAGCTTCTTCATTCGGGGTTGTTAGGTCCATGGTAGCCTATGCTAATCATCATGCTTTTGGCTATGTACCAAAAGTTGTTAGGGAGCAGAGGAAAGAGAGGAAATTGTTGAATCAGTTAGAGAATAAGGGTGTGATTAAGTCAGTTGAGCCCTATTTTTGTAGAGTTTGTGGGAGAAGATTTTACACTAATGAGAAACTTATTAATCATTTTAAGCAAATTCACGAGCGTGAACATCAGAAGAGGTTGAACCAAATAGAGTCTGCTAGAGGGAGTAGGAGGGTGAAATTGGTAGCTAAGTATTCAATGAAAATGGAGAAGTATAAAAATGCGGCCAGGGATGTTTTGA